GGTCGTTAGCGGGAAAACATAAAAAAACTAGCCTATGTTAACGTGCTAAGAACTATGTAACTGCAGGTGTTTGTCTTGGTTTCAGGAATTCTGGCAGACCCAGTCCCAGACATTTGCATCATTCTGTGAAAGACAGCAGATGAGGTGAGAGGAGCTGAAGTAAGACTGTCCGTTCCTGGTCCTTAGGAGTTCTTGTGTCTTCAGGTTTCCAGACTCATTTGGTACCTCCACCAATTACTGCCTATGCTGTAGCTGCCTCATGGCTCTCCCCAGTTCTCAAACCGCTGGTGATTCCAGTATAATGGACCCCCAACAACGCGATGGGACGCATCTTTCTAAGCCATAAAACAAGTACATTTTTGTCCTATCACTGTTTGCTTAAATGATAACTATTAAGTGTTATACTTATTTGCCAGTACTGCGGTTTTACGGTGTTCTGTGTTTGCAGGCTAAAATCATTGGAATTAATGAACCCAAATACAAGAGGTGTGGTGGCACAAGTGGGTGAACCATCAGCTCAGCAGGTATGTGTGATAAACTTGATAAAAAAACTAGTAGTGGTTAAAAATAACATCATGAGCAGGGCCGATTATGGACACCCTACAATTGATTAACTAGAATGCAACAGTGAACAGCAAGAGACCAGAAATTCAGTACGTGGTTGAAATTTAAGCTTTTCCTCAAGTGCACATAACCAGGCATGGGTGCTGCTATCTGATTTGTTTCTCAAATGGCACGGCTGAGTCCAGCCTTATATATTTAAAGGGATCGCGTTTTTACAGTCCATAATTCTTGCACTGTTATGGTATGTTCTGTAATTGAGTAGAAACTAATATATATTATATATAATATATCAAATAAAACTTAAAAAGGAATCAAAGCAATTTCTAACCTGGGAAAATGTGCAGTAGTTTCCGGGTTGATCGGCACCTCATCATGCTCTATGTTCCTGATCCCTGTTGCATTGGCAGCCCCATTTCATCAGAAATAGCAGGTCACAGCAACCTGAGCATCAGCATTGCGACTGTGAGAGGGCAGCGAAACAGCCCTCCCTGCAGGGCAGGTATTGGTACTGACCATGTTCACAGTGCAGCAGCAGGAGGTTGGGTAAGAAACACCTCACCCTAATTCAGACGGCGTTTCCTCAGACCACAATTCTGACAAAGAGTTTCAAGTGAAAGTTTGTGATGTGACCTCTCTCGCTTCCTAACTTCGAAATATAGTTGTTTTTTTATTTACTTGGACCAGCAGCCTCCTGGCTCATTGCTTTTAAGGAAGAGGGAGGGGGGTTCTTTGCCCTTAAAGTTGGGCGGTTTTCTCTCTCGGCTTGTTATGCCGATAGAGCAGCAGGAGGGGAGCCAGGTGTTTTGCAGTGAATTGTTCGAATGGTTCTTGTGTAAACCACCCTGACAGACCAGGTTAGCGTGGCTCAGGTGCGCAGAAGGGAATGTGAAGTCTTGGACTGTGGTGCTCCGGGCAGGAGTGTGGAGTCACCACAAGACACAACAGACCAGTCAGTGTGGTGCTCCGGGCAGGAGTGTGGAGACTGCACTTCCAGTGACTGATGGCAACCTGACTGCATGGCGCCACACTCCTCAAGTCCCAAGTCCTCCCTGCCGCCCGCTCTGAGGGCTCGTGGCAAGAGGTGGCTGTGACTGCTGGATATCAGCCCCCGGAGCACCCATGGGGGCAGCCAGGAGGGCACAGGGCACCCTGGTCTCGGACACCAAGCGAACGGTCAGCACACCAGCACGCCTTGTCCGGGCTCTGGGGACGAGCAGAGGGACAGAATCCTGCAGGAGAGCCTGTGTTAGAGATGCAGCGAGGGCTCGCTGCTAGCCTGCAGTTTTCATTGAGAAAATCCTCCCGTCGGCATAACGAGTTCAACTTTCAACTCTGCTAAATAAAATGTCAGTGGCCTTTCTGAAACAGGCAGTCATTTCCCGATCCTTTGTTAATTCATTGTGGTTTTAGTGGCTTTGTTTAATGCTCACTGTATTATGCTTTTGATTAATTTGGATTGTGAATTGATTGCAGGTAAGTTAGTTGGATCTAATTTACTTGGACAATTTTAACAGGCCTCAACTATACAATGTTTCATTGACTTGTGGAATATTCTAATGTTGAGAAGTGATACCAGTGTGTTTCGTTTTCCTCAACAGGAAACCAAAACTGGAAATGAACTATTGGTGAAGTCCACAATACCGCAATGATAATTTTATGAATAATGCCATTTATTTTCTAAGGAAAAGCCTCTATCCAGAACATCATAGTTTTCCCCTGAATCCTTTAACGGACTAGTTGCTCAGTAATGACTTGAAAGAAAGCGGATTAGAAGCAGAACATGGCAACACAGGAGAATTTGTTAAAACAATTATACATTGTTCAGGTTTTAGTTTCATATGCATTCTTTGTAATCACATATCTCCACTGATATTTTTCCAAGAGAACAAAAACGTAATTCTGTCACTATTTCATATAGCATTATTATGCTCTACACCTTGATCCTACATTATAAATGATCACTTGTCTTTTTTTTATTTACTTAGACTCAAGATCCTTAGGCTGTTCCTGTAATGTAACAAACTCATCTTGGTTAACATATTTTGTGAGAATTGTAAAGGACCTGCAATTAGCAATTTGGTTCTCTATGAATAAAATGTTATCACTCGCATATGACTGGTGTTAGTTTTTGAAAACATACAGTAAGACTGCAATAATGATGTTGATCAAAACTGCATTTTAATCTTTTTGATACATTGGTATTCATTTTGTTGTATTATTAAAGGAATTCGGCCAGTTAACCACACAAAGTTTACAAAGGGGTTATGATGTGGATATATGAGTTAATTGAAAGGAAGTGTATTTTTTGCTTACACAGTGTATTATAGATAGCAGAACCTAAACTGCACAACTTTATCCACACTCCTCAGTCTGTGATAAATGTTGGTGTTGGGCTGTAACAATTACAGCGTCTCCTACAGATTTGTATGGTTTAACTGCCTGTTTATGGAAGATGTCAAAATCCAACACCCCAGTAAGGGTTGAGAGGGTAAGTATCACGTCTCCTATTCCCTGATAGATGAGGGAGAAGCATTAAAACATTAATCTAATCAAAAATATTATGAAAGAGTGGAAACTGTACTGACATTAGGGGTGGGGTGGTGGCTCTGTGGCTCGGGATCTGTGCCTGTGGCTGGAAGGTGACGGGAGATCTCCCTTTAGCTCAACTGACTGGGTCCCTGTTGAGTGATGCCGGAGGCCCGGGTTCGAGTCCCCAGTGTTGGGGGGGCCGACCTGAGGCAGCAGCGGAGAAGGCGCATACCCATGTGAACCCAAGAGCGCTACAGTCGTATACGGGACGACGCGATATGACGCGTTGTGATGTAACACACCTACCGCGTTTTACCACAGTGTAACAAGCTCGTTTTAAATGGCTGCATCTGTAGTTTGCTTTGTACAAAAACAGTTCACTGGGTCTGAGTAATTTCCTTCACAGTTCAAGGACATGAAACGGTGTTAATGAAAGACATCCAATGAAACTTTTTTTCAATTGCTTTATTTTTTTTTATATTTATGCAGAAGACAAGACTCCCAGAACATTCATTCGTCTCTGAATTTGCCTTTAGTTTGAATATCGCAAAAAGTCTAGTAAAGTTTTAGATTTTTTTTAAAAAAATTAAGAAAGTTATTTTAAATAGTTTTAAAAATAAGATGTTAAATGCCATCTTTATGGGAAAAACTAAGGCATTCAAAGACCCCAAAAATGTAATGCATTAGGTAGAAGGTTTACTGTGTATTTCTAAGGCATCTTTTGTTTTGCTTTGATTTAAGTCCTAGCAAAGTGATATTTTGTACTGTACACACAGGGTTGGCTTCTGCACTTTTTTCAAAGACCTTTTTCAAAGGTTTAATATACTGTAACAATGTACAGAGATGGGGAAGTGTTTTTTTCATGTAAAACTGTATTACCTTAATGATAATTAAGCACTTCTTTAATACCAAATATAGACGTAAAGAAATGTAGAAAATTGAGCCCTATGTATGCAGTACCCTGCACTGTTTCCATTATCAGTTACAAGCATTAAGAAAACAAGATAAACCACTTGATACAAAATTAAGTACAAATAAGTCTATATAACAACATATACAGTTTATCTCCAGTTTAAACTACAGAGTTATCTGATTTTGCACCTTTAGATGCTGATACCTCTTTATCTCCCTCTCTATCTTGTAAAGTGTATTCACACACTACTGGCTTTTCTTGGTTGAAATTGTGCCATTGAAAACAGCAGAATAGCCATTGACAAGACCATTCCTGCCATCTTTCAGATCTCGCGAGCATTTGCCATCATCTCTGAAGGTCTTCTTCTTGTATGTCTGCAGATAAAAGATGGTGTACAGTACGAGTCTTGGAGTTAAACTACACCAAAATAACATCGTCCCAATGTGTACTGTATATGCACATTGGATAAACATGTAAGGGGTTGTTCCGCCCCAGCACAAAGGATCCCTGCACTGCCATTAGGCTTTTCTATCCAAAGACAACAGGCTGCAGGCATGTTTATAGCAAAGGTCACTTGAAGTGTGTGTTAAAGACGAGCGGGCTCTATCTACTCTGCAATGAAGCTAACAGAAAATAGGCTGGAGCAGAACTGATGCTAAGTATTCTGTTGATGTTTCCCACCTGTGCTCTCTGCATGTACAGTAGTTATCACTCCAGTCGTATTCATATTCTGTGCTTCAAAATGTTATTTATATGCATACTGTATTTCTGTATGCATGGTTTTAGAAAAATAAAATACGCGTAGTTTCATATTAAATGTACAGCCATTCTCAATGTGATTGATTATTGACCGATTTAATTACATGAGCGTTTTTCAAGGTTTTGTAAAATGATTAGATGCGTTTGAGGCTGAATTACAACCAAGTTGATAGATTTGTGACTGATGATGTCAAATATGTGACCAAGAAATACAGCGATGTCCTTTCAGGCTGGATAATAGAACATTCGCATTGCGATTGTAATGTCCAGATACCGGCCTTACTTCTTAGACACAGATAAACACAATACAATCGTAACAATACAATACCACACATCACCTTTGAAGGTGATAAATTACAGTAGCAAAAAATTTCAACGTCGGCGACAAACACGTTTTAAGTACCAGAAGACTTAATAGCATACACAGCTATTTCACATATACTGTACCTGTGATCTTGATCATTGCCACTGTTTATGTGTTTGTTCTGAATAGGTGCCACAGTTATTTCTACAGCTGTGGCACAAAGGCCTGCATGTTGTTACTCTTTAACGCTTAAAGGTGTCCATCCAGCACAGTTCTGACTAACAGTGTTGGGTAAGAGATGGGTTGGTACAACAAGATAACTTACCTTTACATAGAAATTGACAAAGAGGATGACCAGAGTAAGCATGTAAGAAGACTGGAACAGCAAGCATCCCAGGGGGAACCCGCATGGCACCACAGCGGCACTTAGGGTGTGTGTGATGGTCAGGAGGAACTGAATCTAAGAGAAGCACAAATCGGCAGAATCTGTCTTAACAAAGCATTCACCCGCAGTGAGTTCTTGCGCTAAGTAACAGCATGCAAATCTCATGAGAGGCAATACGTTACCAGCTGAGCCTGAGTGAGGTACTTCTTCCACCAGAGGTACTTGTGCATAGAGGGGATTGTAGAGAGCCCGTAGTAGGAATACATTAGTACATGGATGAAACTATTCAGGGTCGGGCCAAAGAAACCTTAAAAGAAAGTTTAAGAAAGGATGAATAATATTCCCAGCACGTGCATTTATTTCCTGGGTTTATTTTAGCAGAAGCCTAAGGCTGGATTCCCGGGTTCGTAGGTAGCTAGGGTAATAATGGCTCCTGCAGGCTTAGATGTATTTCAAAGACTTGAAACAGGGGGTTGAGATACGATCACCTTCTGAGTTTCCCTTTTCGGTCTGGTATCACATTACACTATTGTCCCAGCTGGGTCATCTGACTCACAGGCCACGTTAAGACCTTTTGAGGTCTTAACCTCTAAAGGGTCCTGTGTCTAGGGAGGCACCTCTGTTTTAGCAGAACAAAATCTCTTGTGGGACAGCACAATGACAAATATTGCCCCGTTAAAAAAAAAATTGACAGCATGATCTGAAGACAAATATTTTGGAAAATTGTGCAGAATTAGCCTTTCATGGATATTTATCATTTTTCAGGGGTTGTAAATATGGACTTAGTAAATATTGAAAATAACAATTATACACATGCATGTAATATGTAATATTACACCAAATAGACATACTGTATGTGTAGTGTGCCATACAGTGAATTCACAGTAATTTACGGATAATTTACAAAAGTCCTCTGAAAACAAGTGAAATATTCTGTAGTTTTGTTTCTTATACCTTGTGTATGTATTATAGAAATTGTATGAGCTTAAAATACTGGGCTCTTTGTTTGGAGTGTAGCGCAAAAGGGGATATCCAAGTTATGTACAGTAGATTAACATGTTTCTAAAAAAATAAATATTGCTCTCCTGAATGCAAAAATTGTGAAAACAACTAGAGGAGAATTTGACAACACCTCTGATTTTTAGAATTCATTTCCCATGTAGCCTTGTGGCCTTTATATATATATATTGACAGTTTTTTTATTGTTAATCAGTTCAGGGTTGTGTTTGTATCTCAGTAATACTGTATATGCTACACGTATTTCCCTTCTTACTTATTAATGAGTGAAACCATTTCTCCAGGAAAAACAGTTTAAGCAGAACATTGAAGTATCTTGATCTTTACTGTACATATTTATGCATTCAATTTATTATTGTTCTAAATTAATACTGCTGTACTTATGTACTGCTATAGCTGTCAAAATTAATATATAAATGTGCTGCAGGAAATGTCATACATTTTTTTTCAAGTGTTCTTTGGATGTCTGTTCAATTCCTAGGCCTCCTCGGCATATGCTAAATAGCAACATACAGTATCTGACTGAGTATCTGATTTGGATTCCCGATTTGGAATCGGCCCTGTGTGATACTACAGCATGTGTATCTGCTAAGCCAGGTGAACACTGTGACTCACTCTGTCCGCATGGTATCCAGTTCATAACACACCACCAGATGTTGAACATGGAGGCATGGTGATACACGTGGAGGAACGAAATCTGGCTGTTCTTTTTCCGCAGCACAAAAAATATGGTGTCCAGGAACTCGATCAGCTTGGAGAAGTAATACCACCAGAGCACTTTGGCAACCTGTGGGAGGGAAAGGACAATGTGCCACCTGGGAAACGGGAGAGCTGGGTTGCTTCTTTCCCCAACAGCGCTGAACACAAGCCAGCCCGTGAGCCGCTCTGTACGAGCGGCTCAAGTTCTGAACACCCATTCCCACCAGCACACAGCGTGAGCGGGAGTCTTACTTCACACTGTCTATAGTCTGTGTGTGTGAGAAGACAAACGCACTCCAGCAGCCAGAACAGCTACACGGTGAGCCTAGCCTTGCGAGAGGTTTCAACGTGTGTATCCTTTGGGGACTAGAACTAATCCACAGGTCTGTCTTGCTCACTTTTTTGGCTAGGACATCCAAAATTCTCCACATCATTAAAAACGGTGACTCTTGCTTGGTTCGAAGCTTGAGAATTTGTATCTGAAATTTCTCTGTTTTAGCTACATATAATATATAAAGTATATCACTAACGTGCGAGTACCATTCTTAATTACAAACCTGAGAAAATAACCGTAACATTCTGCTACATGTTTAACCTGTTGAGACTTGCGGGACCAAATTTGTTCTTTGAGAATGCTATAACACACACACGTGTGTGTGTGTGTGTGTGTGTGTGTGTACACTTTTGTCCACAAAGCATTTAGCAAAATAATAAGTTGGTCCCATACTGTAATGTTATAAGCAAAGATCGAGTGAAAATGTAGAAAAAGTAGATGCTTACACGAAGGCAAGCACAGCAACCCAGTTGCTCGTCCCAGATGTTGCTGTAAAATGGTTTTTTCCCCCTCTTACCCTGATGTCGGCTCCGCCGGCGCTGTTCAGGTTCTGGCACTGCAGGTTGTATTCTCCTTGCCACGTTGCTAAAATGAGCTGAAACAGAGCAGCAGCACGCACTGGTGAGAGCGTACACACGTGCGCCCTCACCTTGTTTTCATAATACACTGAATTCTTCCATGCATCTGTCTATTTTCTGTTTTGCTGGCTTGCTTTTCAGACTTTGGTTCATAATCATCATTCGTGTTTGATCATATTTTACAGAATTACAACGCACACACGTTACACTAATTCACCCAAGGATTCGGGAGATTGTTTTTAACTCTCAATGAGACAGTTTTTCATTGTAAGTGAAATTAAAAGCCCAGAAAGTTACGTTCTGTGTTGGTTTTGGTGTAAGCTACTTTTATGTGCTTTGTAGCATGTTGTTGCAAGCCTAGCTTCAGGTTTTTTAAAAGCAGTTTCTGTTTACCTATAACAATGCACTGAATAATCTGCTGTACTTGTACATTATAATAAGGAGCTCCACATTGACCACAGCAACACTCCTCTGTGTGAACTCAACAGTATAGTTGAATTTCCTAGAAACACAATCTCTTATTGTCTTTGAGAAGCCAGTAGTTCATAACAGTGGTCATAAAGAATTAGAAAAGAGAGAGTTATCCCACACTCTTTGCACTCTTCAGAAACAATGCAGCCAGTATGCAAAATCTGTCCCAGTTTAGCTATTTCCCAGAGAACTGCCTAGCCTTCTTAAAATATTCCTATTCATACAGGCATGTCTGTGTAGATAAAGGACAAGGAAAGCTACAAACATTTTCTGGGGTATTCATTAAATAATGTTGTTGTCATTCTGTAAAGCGCTTTGAGAAGCCACCTTTAAAGGCGCTATATAAAATAAAGTTTATTATTATTATTATCATTAATAAATATAGCCTTGAACTAGAATCTCCTTTTACCCACAGCATTAATTTGCTCAAAGTCCAATATCAGCATGACACAGAAACAATCTTTCTGTATGCTCACAAAGACTAAAATTAAAACTTTCTTGTTTCATAAACAACCTAAGATCTCCAACCTCTAAGTAGGAAAATAACTTTCAAAGCTCCAAAACAAGCAACCCGTTGGCTCAACTGTGGTCCAGCTAATCAATTAATGATCGAATGAAAGAGATCAGCTGCAATGAAAACAAGTAGGAGTGCAAGTCCCCAGAATCAGGACTGGGAACCCCTGGCACAGCAGTTTGCAAAATAACTCCCGATACTGACCATCACTGTGGAAGATACGAGCTCACGATGGTCAACAAAACAATCAATTCAAATGCGAATGGCTAAGACCTTTGTTGCCCTTACCTCAATAAGCATGTACAGAGACAACATAGTGACTGCAAAGTTATATGCAATTAAAACTCCCTTCAAAGAATATGCAGGTCTGTTCTTCATATACAGTGTTCCAAAATATACTATCACCAGGTAGACTAGGGTGAGCAAGAGTGTGGGTAGACAGGAATCCAGCATGAACCATCCTCTGACTCTTGCATCTGAAAGGAAAATACAACATTTCCTTAGTTAGTTCAAAGCCAGACACATACAGTGCCTATAGAAAAATCTTCTCTCCCTTTCCAAAGTAACACATTTGGTAGCCAGAAATCATGACACATTGAGTCAGATTTTAATTTGAGTTTTTTACACATTGTAACACAACCTTCATGTGAAAATCAAGTGCCAAAACTAATCACAAATGAAAACCTATAAAAATGGGTTGGATGTTGGGAGTGAACACACCCCTGAGTTAGTACTTGATGGAAGTACCGTCTGCTTGAATCACAGTCATAATTCTGTTTGGATAGATCTGTACCACTGTAGCACACCTAGATATGGCAGCGTTTGCCCATTCCTCCTTACAGAACTGTTCTGACAAGCTCAGTCCAATTGTGAGGGGACCGTTAATGCTGAAAATGAAAATCTTCCCTGCATGAGATGTTTGGTGGCTAATTGAAAAATTATCTTTGCTAATTGACTTCTCCTTGTCCAAACTTCAAAATCAAGAACCACATGATTAAAAATGACTAAGATATACTGTATGTCTTCCTAGGGAACCATCTAGGGTGAATGTTGAAAGTAGCCATTTTGTTACTATTTACAGTACATATGAAGTAGACTAAAGTACAGAAATAATTAGCTGTGTTTCTGCAAGAAGCCTTCCAGAAATAAGAGAAGTCTCATATTTTTAGAAAATGTGAAATGCCCCTGCCCCCAAAATACAGGTACGTATGAGGTTTTCTAATAACTTTTATTTATAAAGTGTCTTTCCAAACCCAAAGAGGGTGTATATAGTGATAAAGAAAAAGGCACAAAAAGTATAAGTAAAAAAAAAGAAATTAAACAAGAACATACAGTACAGGTTCATACAGATAGAACATAGGTCAATCAGACACAGGCCCCAGTCCAGTGACGAGTCGTGAAATTAGTGAATTCATGAGCCATGCGGTAGCGTGCTCGTTTTTCACGTGTAACACCTGGGCTGAGAGGCAGAGTTAGGCACTTGAGGCACAGGGGTTAATACACAAACACTGGCTGGGAATTACAGGCCACCGAGTGGGTGTGGGAGAGAAAGGGGCACAGCAAGTAAGCAACCAGCTCCTTTCACGGTTCAGCTTGGACTAATCCACAGTCTGGCTGGCATCCGTATTCCAGAAGGGTAAGGATTCCAGCTGGAATCTGACATGTGACCGGGACGTGCTGGCAAGACGTCTGCATCCTGGGTATTTGTATGGAAGACTGTACAAGGACAGAATTCATTAAAATGCTGTTTTTGTTCACATCACTAAATAAAGGCCAGGGCTCGCACTGAGGCTGGGTGGCCGTGAACGTCTTCCTGTTCTTTTCTACCCGGCTTTGATGGGAATTCTTTGCTGCTCAGGCGGCAGAGGGGGACTTGTCAGCTGGGATTAATCCTGTGCCTGTTTTTCCGATGAAACAGCAGTGCTGAAGGTCAGGGCAGCGTCGCAATAACGGCCGCCACCGTTTATTTTCCATTCTTTCCTACCTCTAATGCTCCCGACAAGCCATAGGACACAGAAAACGGTGTCAGCCAGTGGTGGGAACGGAGCTTCAGTGGGTGCGGCCTAGCATTGACAAACTGAGCCAAGCTGTCACGAAACAAGCGACTCACTGGGGCTCTTCTGAACTGTGACCTCGGCAGCCACATGAGCAGCACTCCACTACACTATAGAAACAACTGACTACTCCATTCAGCTGCAGTAAAAGTACGTCAAGTGGTACAGTATATACATATGATCATAATATGTATATGCTGAAGCCTTCTCAGACCTGAAGAAGGCTCCACAGCCGAAACGTTGTGTTTCCTTTCTTTTCTTTTCAGCATGGAATAAACCCGTTACCTGATCCTAATATATGTTAAGTTAGCTATGCCCTGATGAACAGCTTTAATGAGATGGAACAGCTGTTCTTGTCTTGTGAAGTTGAAATAGTTGTTTATTTAGACAGTTTAGCTTTTTAGCATTGAGATATGGTGAGAGCTAATTAAGATGAATTCCCATTATATAAACAGTACTGTATATACAATATATGATCCCATGTCTTTAGACTCACAATTATTAACTGTTTTATGCAGGCTTATGAAAGATAAGAGTTTATATAATGCGATAAGTGTATATAATGAGAATTCATCTTAATTAGCTTAATCTTATCTCTTATCTTAAGAAAAGCAGTCTTGTGATCCAAGAACAAATGAACCACACAGGATCAGGTGAGAATTTAGCTGCATGTTGTTTCTTGTTTGCACAAGGAGATTACCACACAAGTTCTAGTTTGGAACTACCGCAAATAATCACATAACAGCACAGGGTGAAAACTATTATCAACAAAAGAGAATAGAACCTACTGTATACAGATAACTTATCATTGCTGAATAGAAGCAGTTCAGACCAAAATTGTGAAATAAACTATGCTGTAAGTCTAGTAAGTCATAATTTAGTATATACTCTGACCTGAATCATAATACTGTAC